GCCACCGGCACCTAAAGTCACACATCACTGTGAGGGCAGCTGCAAGCTTGCCTGCTCCTCTCATCCATTCTCTCTGCCCACGTGGTGAAACACAACCCACAGGGAAGCAACCAAGCCTTCCTCATTTCTTACTATTTTCTACGTTAAACTTGGAGCAGCATCCAAGGGTTAGTCAGAAACTCACAGCTCCGGCCTGAGCCCACGGTCGGCCTACACATCATGACAAGAGATCTCGATCTACCCCAGTACACGTGTGTAGGCAGAGACAACAACCCATGGGTTAACGATGAGGTTCTGAACTGGGATGGTTCCATTCTCCCAACCTCATCTCCCGTGAAGGGGGAAGCTTGCTCTCACATCCCCACCTAAAAATCCCCCTGCTGCACAGTCCGGCTAGCACAGGACAGCAGCTACACTCCAGCCCAGAAGCAGCTGCAGTTAAGTAGCAGATAAAGTAACTGCCTTATGTTGCATCTACAATACATCACACACAAATTATAACAATCTTCCTGGTCTCGCCTAGCCAGTGCCTGCGTACCTTCATAGCCAGCGACTTCCGCTTCAGCCCGCTGTGATCACTCCCCTTGTCAGACTCCTCATCGCTTTCCATCTTCTCGGTGGCTGCTGCAGGGATGGCAGCGACTGCAGACTCTTCATCCTCTCCTGCATCGCTGCCTGCTACCGGGTCGATGTCGCCAACCTCGCTGTCTGAGGAGCTTGCCGGCTGCGGAGGCAGAGAAATGGGTGGTTGGAGGTTACTGCTCAACATGTAGTGTAGTCAGGGCAAGGAGAGCAGGGGATAAGCACAGAGAAGACAGAGAGCAGGACATCCCCAGACAGGGATATGCAGAGAGAGGACGCCTGAAACAGCTCCCGCTAGAAGGCTAGGGTAATGCTCCTCCTCCTCACAGAGAGCTACAACCCTCAAGTGCAATAACATCACACAGACCTCATAAAGGGAGCTTCTCTGTCCCTTCAGCCAATGTCCACGTCCCCCAAAATCCCCTCTGCAGCCTTTCCCCACATACACAGCATTAAGGGGCCCATCTAGGACCAAAGACAGCTCCCAGTAAAGTCCTCTTTCATTCAAGTCACCACCTTGTGCTGCATCGTGATCATTCACCTGGCCTTTCCTACATACCTGCCATCTGCCCTTCGCAGCTCACCTTGAAACCCTTTCTGCCTCTCTCCAGTGCCACAAACTGCAAAGCTGCTGTGGAGGCCTTCCTTGAAGACCCCACGATCTAAACTGCATCACATAACTTTTGTTACAAAGCATCCCTTAGGCACTCCGACCTCAACCACAAAGGGCCACCTCTTGGTTTGACCCAAAGCCCACGGAAATCAATGGGAAACCAGACTGGCAACATTGGTCCTGGCCATCGGGTCAGGGCCCCTCTGCTGAGGGAAACGGTGGGACCAGCGAGCCATCTCGGCACAGGGAGGGGAGCCAGAAGCACTAGTTCTGATTCTTGCTCTGACAAACGTGTTCTCTGCAGCTTTGGATAAGTCACTTACTCTGTGGATCCCATCTGTAAACCAGGGAGAACGATGCCTGCTTCCCTGGGACCCCAGTGAGGAAGAAAGTCAGAGATTTGCTAAAGACAAGTTACGCAGTTCCTGAAAAGGGAGACTTTGACCTGGCAGCCCCTAGAAACTCCAGCCAGGAGCAGGAGGCGGCAAGGCGATGTGGGAGACAGGCAGGACACCCGTGCTCAGGGCGACCCCGGGAGCACTCACCGGAGGGGCGCTGTAGCTGGCGTGAGGGTTGTTCTGGATTTCCCATAGGCCTTCATTGAAGCCTTTCCGCTTGTTCGGCTTCCCGTATTTGTCCTTGCACTTCTCGTATGGGAACAGGTCCTTAGGGCCCAAGAAGGCTCTGGGGAAACAAAGCAGAGGTGAGGCCCCAGCCCAGGGGAAGCAGGCAAGAGCAAAGGAAGCGCAGGTGAGGGTGCAGCTTACGTCTCGTGAGTGCCGAAGAAGAAGATGGGGTACTTGTTCGGTGGGGGCTTCACGGCACCATCTGCGATGTCATCGATCTGGAAGGGGGACAGAGCAGGACACGGTCAGGGATGGCAGCTGGAAGCACGTTACCACAGGTCGGCAGCAAAGCAGCATCATACTGGCGTGACTGTTTCAAACCCCCCCAGAAGCTTGCGGAGCAAACTGACGGCAGCACACCAGCTCCTAATGCAGGATCTTGAGATGGGTGACAAAGAATCCGGCCCAGCCGCTTGGGCTCTGCGTGGGAACTTGACTTCAGTCTTCCTACGGCTGGGAATGCCTCATGGGTTATGGACTTAACACCCGGGGGAAACCAGCGCATTGCATTCCTCTGTAGAGATCCATATGCCTGGACTTAGAGCAGTGCTGCTGGACCCCCCCCGGGGGAATCCTGTCCAGCCCCACTGAGGGCAGAGACGATTGCTCCAACAGGTGGTCGGAAGGGGCTCTCCTGGCTGGAAGCAGGCCACAGGAAAGCCCAGGCTGCCGGCAGGCACGACTTTTCACACACAGGAATCTCAGCCTTCTTCCCACACGCTGCGTTGGCTCCAGGGCCCGTCAGCCACTTCCACGTGATGCAGCCAGGGGACGCAGCTCCGAGGCAGGAGCCAGGGAGCGGGTGTGGGAGCTGCCACGGCAAAGAGGCAGCAACGCACGTGCACGCGGGTGTTGCCCACACACCGGGGAGCCTACAAAGAGCAGCCCTTCCAGCAGTGCAAGGGAGCTCAGCCAGCCTGGGATCCTGAGAAGGATGGAGCTCTCCCCTAGCCCCACGTCCGGCAAAGCCAAAGGAAGGTGGAAGGAAGGAGGTCCTGAGATACTCTGCAGGCCAGTTGTGGTCTCCCTGCCTCTGACACCCTCCACCATCACTGCTGCCCCAATCCCAGAAACTCTCAGCCTGTCTCTTTTGCTGGTAGACACCTCCTACAGTGACAGCCGAGCTGCCAAGCGGGCACCAGTCTGGCACCTGAACTGGTCAAGACTTCTGCCTTCGATACAGCTCCATCCGCATGGAGTCCTTGGGCATGAGCACAGGTCTTGGTCACCAGCACCAAATACGGTCCCATCTCCACCTGCGCCCTCTCACCCCTGGGACCATCCAGGCCCCTTCCAGGCTCTGCAGCTACGTGGCGCCATCGCCCAGTTTTCCCACCCCAAATGCCACCTCCTGGCACCGCAGCACAGCCCAAGACCTCCCTGCCCCACGGCAGGTGCACGCCCTGGCATCCAGCATCCTGCTGGGACCAGCACCCCAGGAACCCACACCCGTGGTGGACGGCCATCCCTGCCCCCTGCTCCACATCCACTGCCCCCACACCGAGCCCCCTCCTCGTCCCACCTGCCCATGACCCACTGCCTTGTCACCCGTCCTCTGCGCCCGTCTTCCCCTGCACGCACGGCCCAGCTCCCCACGGCACAACCCTGCTCCCCCACCGAGCCCTCGCTACACCCTGCAAAGCACCCTGCACCCCCATCCACTGACCCATGGCCGCCCTGCGCCCCCACAGTCCTCTGCACCCCAGGATCCACCTGCAGCCTGTGCCCCTCTGCACCCCACAACCCACCCAGCACCGCCCTGCGCCCCGTGCACCCCAAACCCATCCAGCACCCCCCATACACCCAGCACCCCCCTGGACTCCTGCACTCCGAACCCATTCAGCACCCCCCCATGCACCCCACACCATCCTGTCTCTCTCTGCACCCCCTATAAACCCAGCACCATCCTGTGCCCTCTGCACCTCAAACCCATCCAGCACCCCCCAGTGCCCCTCTGCACTTCCCACCTCCTTCGACCCCTCTGCACCCCAAACCCATCCACCACCCCCCTGCACCTCCCCCCATGCACCCAGCACCATCCTGTCTCCCTCTGCACCCCAAACCCATCCAGCACCCCCATGCACCCAGCACCCCGCTGAACCCCAAACCCATCCAGCACCCCCCCATGCACCCAGCACCATCCTGTCCTTCTACACCCCAAACCCATCCAGAACCATCCTGTGTCCCTCTGCACCCCAAACCCATCCAGCACCCCCCCAGCACCCCCTCCATGCACCCAGCACCATCCTGTCCTTCTACACCCCAAACCCATCCCCCACCCCCCCCGCCCCCCCCCCAGCCACCCAGCCCCATCCTGTCCTTCTACACCCCAAACCCATCCAGAACCATCCTGTGTCCCTCTGCACCCCAAACCCATCCAGCGCCCCCATGCACCCCTTCCATGCAACCAGCACCATCCTGTGTCCCTCTGCACCCCAAACCCATCCAGCACCCCCATGCACCCAGCACCCCGCTGAACCCCTCCGCACCCCAAACCCATCCAGCACCCCCATGCACCCCCTCCATGCACCCAGCACCATCCCGTGTCCCTCTGCACCCCAAACCCATCCAGCGCCCCCATGCACCCAGCACCCCGCTGGACCCCTCTGCACTCTGAACCCATCCAGCACCCCCCATGCACCCAGCACCATCCTGTCTCCCTCTGCACCCCACACCCATCCAACGCCCCTGTGCCCCTCTGCATCCCCCACCTCCCTGCACCCCTCCGCACCCCAAAGCCACCCAGCACCCGCTTGCACCCCTTGCCCAGCTGCACCCAGCACGGCCCT